TCTCAAAGATAAAGCTTGAAGACTTGCCAAATCTCACAGTGCTCCTTATTTGTCTTTACAATACTAACAATCTTATTTTCTATTTAGATTAGGTTCACACTAGAGCCTTAATGTAACCGTTTTCCCGAACCATTAGCACATATGTGAGAACGCTAAGATCGGTTAGCTCTAACCGTTCCTAGGAAGTGGACACACTATCGGTTAGTGAGAGCTATCAGTTAGGAAGTTGACCTTATTAATATCATTAGCCAATCAGATGTACGCATTTCCAAGTTTCTATAGGTCAGTATCTGGACCTGGGATTTTCTTTTATGAACGCAAAAGTGAGTGCGTATGTTATTATCTGGATCTTGCTAACCATTAGATATGTGTGTGTGAACACAGCCATAAAATAATGCACAATATCGTGCCTATCAGATTCGGTTTGTCAAAGTCACCATCCCCATCTTCATCATTTAAGTGATAAGAATAATGCAATCTTATAGAGTTAATAAGGTAGACTGAATAAAGAATAATTACCTTTGAGGAGTCGTTGTTTGGCAGCCATACATCTGATATGGTCATCAAAAATAAACCTAGCTGCCAGTAGGGGAAATGGTTTAGCATGGCTACTTATCAAGCGCTTATGTATCGTCACATGTAATGATCGACTGTCATCCTTATCACCTTGTACCTCAACATCCTAAGAGAAAATAAAATATTATAAGTTTGTGTTTCCCTAGCCTGGCCATCAATTTGCAAAAATATACTACAATGTTTGACTTCAAAAAGTCATACCATGGACCTATAGGTCCATGGTCATACCATAGATTTTAGAATCTAAGACTCTTTCAAGATAAAGTTGTTTCTCCACCTAGTAGCACAAGCATCTGGTAGGTTCGAATGTCAATGCATTGATTACTAGTCTTGCCAACATTATGGAATGCTCCCCAGGAACCTGAACCTTATGCTGGTAATTGTAATTAAAATTATTGTAGTTATTATTATTGTTGTTATAATAATAATAATAATAATAATAATAATAATAATAATAATAATAATAATAGTAATAATAAAAATAACAATAATAATATAAGTAATGAACATATTTTAATTGTTAATTATTTTTGTATTTTCACACATATATATATTTATATATTTTTATAATGTATTTATACTGCTAGTCCATGTTTCCCCCATTGCTTGGAGAGCCACTCAGACAGTAATTTATTTTACTTTTTGGTAATCCTGCCGGCTCTTGGGGGAAACATGGATTACCTTTTCGAATTTTCTGAATATTTTACTGTAATGTTATGATAAAAAAAAAAAAAAAAAGGCGAAATAAATGAAATGAACCCAAGTAAGATGAAATATCAATGCATTAGGCTATTCTTTATCATTCTTTGACATAGGGCATTTTATATCTACCACTGTCTAAAGTCATTTTATACAACCACCAATGCAGGCTGTTTTATATCAAAAACCAGAGAGCCTTAATGTAACCGTTTGCCCGAACCATTAGCACATATGTGAGAACGCTAAGATCGGTTAGCTCTAACCGTTCCTAGGAAGTGGATACACTATCGGTTAGTGAGAGCTATCAGTTAGGAAGTTGACCTTATTAATATCATTAGCCAATCAGATGTACCTTTTTCCAAGTTTCTATAGGTCAGTATCTGGACCTGGGATATTTTACTGTAATGTTATGATAAAAAAAAAAAAAAAAAGGCGAAATAAATGAAATGAAATGAAATGAACCCAAGTAAGATGAAATATCAATGCATTAGGCTATTCTTTATCATTCTTTGACATAGGGCATTTTATATCTACCACTGTCTAAAGTCATTTTATACAACCACCAATGCAGGCTGTTTTATATCAAAAACCATCTCAGACAATTTTATACAACCACCAATGCAGAATCCTACGATTCTGCATTGGTGGTTGTTGAAGTCAATCTATTACCAACAGGCTAAGTAGCAAGTTTGTATGCAGTAGTATTTTTACTGTTTGGAATTTTAGTATTCCAACTTTTGTGAAGGCAATGAGTTTATAATTAATGTAAGAACTAACTTGTAGTGGTCCCACAAATTTGACTACACCCCATCCAAGTCTCTTGACATCAGGTTCAACCAATATAACTTGATGCGTGTGCATTACAAGAAAACGTCGTTGTCTTTGACTGAAATGCAGAAATATCATTTAATTTAGTTACATCAGTGCAGTATATTTTATACATGCATCAGTAAATGATAATAATAATAATAAAGTATTGCTTAAAGGTTTGCATGGCGAAGAAATAATATATATGTGGAAGCTTGCAGTACACCACGTAAGTAGTTCTGAAAAGAACTGTTGTAGTTGAGAAAGTCTCGACGTTTCGATTGAGATACTTCAATCGTCTTCAGGAGAATGATAATAATAATGATAATAATAATAATAATAATAATAATAATAATAATAATAAAAATAATAATAATAATAATTTGTGATGTGTATAGCACCTCCTGTTTGAACCAAGTACTAGGCATATTAGAATTATTCAATTCAATTAATTCAAAGAATTTCATGTAAACCTTTTATTTCATTTACTGCATCTCGCACTGTAAAACCATGGTAAAACAATTAACAAACAAAAAAAATACAATAACAACCGAGACAGGATTCCCAACAGCGAACTGAATCACACTTTAAAAAGGGTCTCCACATAAAACAACATGAAATATATATAAAACATGCTGATAGCAGAAAGTATACAAAAGTGTACATAACCGTAATAATAATAATAATAATAATAATAATAATAATAATAAATAATAATAATAATAATAATATAATAATAATGAAAATAATAGTAATAACAATAATAAAATAATAAATAACAACAACAACATTACATGAATATTAAAAAACAAAGTAAATGCAAAAGATTATTTAAATATCAATTTACAAAATTTCATTACATCATTTTTTAAATCGGAAAAAAACTGTGACAATAAGGAGAAACTTGAACTTGAACAGGTTTTTTTTTTGTAACAAACTTCAAACATAGATGTAGACAAATGTCTGTAGGTAAGTTAATAAGAGGTTTTACTGCCAGACTGCAACATAAACCATTAAGCTCTAAATAGCTCCTAGTTTTTTATTCATGTATATAGTAGTTTCTGGGAAAAGTAATTCAATTATGGTTCACTAATACAACACAAGCATTCAATTTTACAGGAAGTTATCTGTGTATGTCACAATTTGAAGGAGCACAATTGATGAAGAAGTTACAAAAACTAAACTCTTAGAACTGGCAGTTAAAAAAAAATTGAACTTTGAAGAAAGGGGAATAAATGGCAATCAGTTATATAATCATGACTTTTGCAGTCTGATTAATTGATTTTACCAAGAAGAATTTGCCATATAACACGTGGCTATGACAGCAAGCAAAATAGATAATAAATAATTATCTTATCTGTGGTACAATGCGACGTTTGTGTGTCTGTTTCCAAGTATTTTGTTTTCCTATCTTAGCAGGTAACCATGCGAGTGTGGTTCTTTGAGTAAACCTTGCGATGGTAGTGTGTTCCAATAATTTTATTATCCTTGCTTAAAGCAGGTAAACTATCATGATATACTTACCCTCTATCTTTAGGTAACACAGAACATGCAATGAGATCACTGTTATCTGCAAAGTATAAAAATAAATTCAATTAAACATTAATCAAATTAACTAATTGTAATAATTCCATATTATTAAATTTCAATTCCATTCAATTATGTGCGCCTGTGGAGAGGTGACAGGTATTGCAATAGCGTGCATCTGTATGTGTCTGTCTGTGTGTTCGTCCTTCCCGGTGCATAACTCAAAAACTGCTGGACTGATTTACCTCAAATTATCACACATTGACAATGTTACATGTATTCAGCCCTCTTCAAACTTGGTGCTGATCGGAAATAAGAAGCAGATTTTAAAATGTTATTTATATGTTTTCCGTCCACAACAGACAGAGCTAACTCGAGCAGATTGTTCGGCCTCATTTGGCTAGTCCAAACTGACTCGAGTGGACCGACCACGGGCCAGAATAGGGGTGTGTCAACGTTTGCAGTGAAAGCACTGTAGCGACAGGAAACCAGGCTTTAGGTAGAAGCCGTTTGAGCAGCTGTCCCAGATAATCACCTGTAAGACACAATTGAGCAGCTGTCCCAGATAATTACCAGTAAGACACGCCTGTATATTTTTTTGTGCTTGAACAGGCCTAAAGTTGGATTGAAATTAATGTATTGTTTAATAATAATTATATATTATAGTAATTGTGATGTTGGTAATTATGGTGATATTTATTGTAATTTTTATAATTATGCTTGTACAGTAGTTGTAATTATTATAATGGTCTTATTTTTTGTACAGTATTTTAAATTGTATTATATTTAGTAGAAAAGTTTGTAAATACAATGCTGCAATTCAGCTTCTGCTGCCATTGACTGTAAAGAATGAATAAAAGAATTGAATTGAAGTGCAAAATTAGTTTATTAGTCTTTAGACATAAAGGATATGTGCTTCAATGCAAATAAACATAAAACAGAAAAAGGATGGTCAGAATTACAACTGATTTTGAACAACAGAGGAAGTTCTGCTTTAAGTGAAACTAAAAGCCTGGCAAAGATGATTGACACGATGTTTTGTATAATGGAGACCAGAATATTTGTACACCATCAGGAACTTATACTGTCACAAGAAACAGCATTCAGAACTCATTACCAACAAACAGATATGGGATGGATGTGTCCTTGGTCTAACCTATACTCAATGTATTCTGAAGATATAATGAAGAAACTTAAGGGTTAAAGGGAATCAATAAATATAATATTAGAATTTTATGCAATAATATTTGGTTTAGGCCTATAGCTGAGTCTGAGGAAATTTTGTAAAATTTAGTGAATGCTGCCATTGTGAAAGGGGAAAATGAGGGGCTAAAGGACCAACACTAAAAAGGCCTTTCCAATAGTTATATCAGGAGAACAGAATCTAGTAGTACTCAAAACACATTAAAATGTATCGTTCAAAATAGCTAAATTCTTAAAAGGTTATAAAATTCTAATAATTGTTCTTGAAAAATCAATCTTGGAACTTGTGTTAAATGCATGTTTATATCCATGAGATTACAACATATTTTATCCCTTTCTTCACCTGAAAAATACACAATAAAGTTATGATGGCTTAGATCTTCATTTTGTACTACACTGACAACCTATTCTGCAGCATGTTTTTTTTTTCTCTGAAATTCATAAACTTTTCTTTTTATTCAACATCATTGTTATCAGTGGGCAGTGTGTTTGCAAAAAAGAAATTAAAGAAGTTTTGCCTTAATGCCTATTTACAGGTAGGGTGACAGCGCATGCTGCAGCGACAAAAATATTCTGTCGCACTATGCGTTCCATTTACACGACGCATGTAAACAGTCATGACGCATGTAACTTTCGTGGCTTGTTCGGCAGGAGTCTACACGATCAGAAGGATGACCAGATTCAGGAATTGGTTAGAATATTTTTTGTTGCGTGACAGCTTTTGAAAATAGAAAATTATTTTATGCTGAGCGACACGTCGGTGTGGATCTCCATAAAAACATAGGTTCTATATTTTCTGTGCTGTCGCATGCCACTGTCACACTGTGTGTACATACGGACTTAAAACTAAGGCCCCCTTAATACTGACCATGACAATTGTGCATCCATGAAAGATATTTTTTTCCCATTTAAAAGGCTTATATTTTTAATTGCAAAAAGAAAAATAGCTGAAATGTCACAAACATGAGTCTAATGATTAATACGTAAATGGCTCTAAAAGTTGATTTTACATTAAAAGCTGGTATTTAACTGAATTCACTCAATTCCACAAATAAAATCTGCTATAAATACACTTCCAAGTATTTGATAATGAATAAATACTGTAAGTTTCTAGGAAAAGATAATCAGTAATACTACACTACCAGCGTTAATTTCATGTAAAATATTCAACATTTGATTTACCTCATAATTACTGAAGGCTCATAATCATCATAATTATTAAAGATATCATGTAACAGTAAGCTTTAATTTAAAAATAAAGGAGCACGTTAAGTTACACTAAGATTAAGATATGACGTAACTATCATCTGTAAAGATGTGTATAAGAGACAGGAGGAAGTTCTGCTTTAAGTGAAACTAAAAGCCTGGCAAAGATGATTGACACGATGTTTTGTATAATGGAGACCAGAATATTTGTACACCATCAGGAACTTATACTGTCACAAGAAACAGCATTCAGAACTCATTACCAACAAACAGATATGGGATGGATGTGTCCTTGGTCTAACCTATACTCAATGTATTCTGAAGATATAATGAAGAAACTTAAGGGTTAAAGGGAATCAATAAATATAATATTAGAATTTTATGCAATAATATTTGGTTTAGGCCTATAGCTGAGTCTGAGGAAATTTTGTAAAATTTAGTGAATGCTGCCATTGTGAAAGGGGAAAATGAGGGGCTAAAGGACCAACACTAAAAAGGCCTTTCCAATAGTTATATCAGGAGAACAGAATCTAGTAGTACTCAAAACACATTAAAATGTATCGTTCAAAATAGCTAAATTCTTAAAAGGTTATAAAATTCTAATAATTGTTCTTGAAAAATCAATCTTGGAACTTGTGTTAAATGCATGTTTATATCCATGAGATTACAACATATTTTATCCCTTTCTTCACCTGAAAAATACACAATAAAGTTATTGGTTCATAGCACTCTGGCGATTATTACTATCGATATGATTGTCATTTATCACTGTCATCATATCTTCATTATTGATTCATAATCTTTAACAGCCATTGTTGATGCTCTTTTCGAGGAATCTGACATTTTGACCAATTAATCCGTAACACATTTTTCTTAGAATTTAGATACCGTTTGTTAAACCTATTACTAACAAATACTGAAACTTTAAAATGTTTACATCCAAATCTAAAATTGACACACGAAATTGAAATTCCAGTAATCATAGGCCTTTTCCACGAATCGGTAGACATCTTAAAGTAATGACAAACATTGCGAATCAGCCGTGCGTAACCAACAGAAATAAGATAAGCTTTTGGGCTGATTTTCTGACATCACGTTATTTAAAAAATCATAACTCCATAATTGGGCATCGTATCCAAACATTTTTCCTGTAAAATGTTCTTAAAAGACTAGTCTACACCACTATATGATTGAAAAAAAAATTGAAAAATGTTTTTGACTTCTGAAATCAAGATGGAAAAAGAAAAGCCTATTTAAGTAGTGTATTAAAATAGGCCTATGCAATACAGTGCAGTAGCATAGTACTTTGGTGTTGTTACTGTTCCAGGTACAGAAAATATACAGATTTCTCTTATAAAGTAAAAGTTGTTTTATAAAGAAGTATAGTATAGTAAATCATGTTTTTAACACAAGAAACTCTCATATGGTAACTAAAACAATGCTAGTTCAGAGTATCACTAGTACATAGTTTATTAAATAATTGTTAGTACATAGTTTCATTTCATTTAATTTTATTTTATTTCACACAACGAAAAAATACAATATAAAATTCTTCAGAAAAGAAAATAAGTAACAAGGGCAATGTAATGAAATTAAGTAAAATTTAAAAATTATTAAATTACAGTAAATGATAGTAAGTGAAGATATAGTAATTAATAAAGTAATAATAATAATGATAATAATAATAATAATACAATAATAAAAATAAAAATAATAATAATAAGATTTATAGTAATAATAATGATAATAGTAATAATAAAAATAATAATAATAATAAGATTTATAGTAATAAAATTTATAGCAATAATAATGATGATAATGATAATAATAATAATAATAATAATAATAATAATAATAAAAAACAATAATAATAATAATAATAATAATAATAATAACAATAGAAAGGTTGTGTGCGGGGGACACAATAAGCCATTAAGGTTTTAAGTCTGTGCCTCCAATTAACTTAAGCTAAGTAGTATTGAGAGTGAAAGAAGGCCTAAATTAATTCATCAAAACTATAAGGTTAATTACAAGGGGAGTTTCACTCACATCATTGTATAAGGCGAGTTGAATGGCCGAGCGGTTAGCAGGGGCTGAATTTGAACGGCACGCTCACCTATATTTCTGGTGGTAGAACAAGTCTTCTCAGATAAGGACTATAAACTGTAGACCCAGTGTACATATTCGTGACGAGTAGGGGGAAACCCTGGTGTACTGGTACAATCTAAGCCTATTGTGGACGATGAGTGTGGTGCACAGGGTTACAAGACACAAAGGGACCCTCAGAGGAGAAGAAAGTCATTGGTCGAGTTCCTAGTCCACATCCAAGTGCTTTGTATCCATTGGCAAAAAAGCACTATATAAATTTCTATATTTAGATTTTTAATATTAAGTTACTTTGCCTGTTGTGTTGATATTAACTAAATATTTAAACACAATTTGTTGGCTAATTCAGCTGCTGTCAGGAATTCTTCTGTTTCAAATCGAATGCAAGAAAATTGAGAATTTATCTACAAATCAAACTACAATACTAAGAAACATTTTTGTTAAAACAGGTGCAAATATGATTATTTGATACTGTCTGTAGTCAATATAACTAAATATTTAATCTAAAGGCAAAGTACAGTAGTTATCATAAAAGAATTGAATTTCTTTGAAACACTATTAACCAGTTAATCAAATACTAAATCCATGACCAAGGTTTACTTAGAAACAAGGCTGCAAACCAGTTCCTAAAACAGAATGAATGAGGGCATGTATCTAGGAATAAGGAAATTTGAGATATAAATAATTCTCTTATCATTGCCAAGATAAGGACTGTGTCGCAACTGCGTTTCAACTCTGGTGGCTGACATCGCATTAATATTCTACACCAATGATTTTGGAAACGATTTGGCCCGTGACCAGTAGGCAACTTGAGGCATGATTCACAATCCATGGTGGTAGGCATTTGTTAAACTCATTAAATAAAACAAAATAAGCTGTGTTCTAATGGAGAAGGCAGTTTGGCGCACTAATTTCCATTCAAGTTCTGAACCTTGTTGCCGAGGATTCATACCACACGCTGAGCATTCTTGGCCGGCCATGCTTAATTACCTCAGCTTGCACTGTTGACAGGTTTTGAAGTGGCTCACTTCATTTTTCAGCCCTAGGAAGAAATATTTCATGGCTTATAAATTAAATATTGTGGCCGCCTCTTGTCAATATTGAGATGATCCTTATCAATGATTTGACCTCAACTTCCATGATTTTTCCGGAATTCAGCATAATCAGTATCAGGCCTGACATACAGAGATTTTTTAAAAATATGTCTATTGGGAATTATCAGGGATGTTAATGCTCATTAATATAGTATTAATAGATTTAATGAAAATTAAATAAGTTACATGAAAAATAAATCTTGTTTTGTTGACTTAGATAATAGTATATGAGGATATAGCCAAAATATTGAGAAATTAAAAACAAAAACCGAATTAATACAACCTTAAAGGTTTATTACTCTATTATTATAAACTCTGTATACAATTACAATGGTTTTGAGATTTGTTCAAGAAATGATTATATCTCTTTGACCTTGAGTCATGTCTACTAGCTAGGTTGAATTACAATAAAATTTGGTCACTATATGATTTGCAGCGAAAAAATAATTACCCAGGAAGAGTAGTTCTTTGGCACAATGAATGGTGTATTTCCAAGAAACCATTTTTTTAATAGCCAGTAAAAACACACCCTAAAGCGATGCTAAAGCTAGGTCAGAATGAGGGTTTCTTGGAAACAAGGCTGCCAATCAGTTCTTAAAATCAGTCAGTGGTGGTTCTAATATAGCAAATACCATTCATTCAAGGGGAAACCTGTCTGACAAAGGGCCTAAATTTCAAGATGGCAAACAGGTGTCTGCAGTGCCCAGTTCAGGAAAACCCTTCTAGGTGCCCAGTACAACACTATTTCACTTTACAGTATTTTCCCATTGACTTGGAGCATGCTCACAGATATGTAAAACAGGTGGCGATTACGTGTGCACAGCACGCCACAGAGCGAGCCAGTCAATGTTAAGGAGAATGTTTAATGACATGACATTTCTTTGGTAATGTAAGAAGCATCATTAAAATATTACATTTCCAAATAATAATTTACATAATAATAGCCACCTAAAAATGTCAACAGTCTGTTGTGGAATGCTGCCCTAATGCTCCTGATTGGAAATAGACAAACACAGATAATGTGACAATGCTTTCAATTTCACAGATTTTGATTGGAAAATACAGATTTCAATGAAATAAGAATGTTAACAAATTTCTGAAATAGAATGTTTAAAAGCATGTCAGAAGAAGGTTAAGTTTGAAAAATAAGGCTAAATGTAAAGGTAGGAGAATGACCAATAAACTTGCAGTGTCATTGTGCTGAATAGCCTGGGACTACCGTAGCAGCCACAGAGAGGAACTTAGTAGCTTCATCTTTACATCATTTCACAATGACAGGAACTGAAATGCGCTAGAGCCTACTCTTCTTAACCAGCAGTGATGTTTTATGGCTGTAGGTTGCAGTGCCCCCTGCCCTAACCACTGAGCCATTCAATACTGTATCATTGCAGAAGTTTCATTTAAAAAATTAGGTTTTTAACTTTTTAAGTAAGGTTGTGAACCCTATGTAACATTCACATCATTTAAATTGACCTTTGTACAGAAAACTTATGTGGCATAAATAACCATAGTGTTATCAGAACAACACAAAGCAAATAAACCTACCACTTACGTGCATACTTGTATGCTGTAAGCAAAGATACTGTACTTAGTGCAACAGAGGAAATAAACCTGGTACTTAGGTGCATACTACATCAACCAGTGCTTTAGGACAAATGAGAATATTATAAACACATACTGTAGTTGTATTCTTGAGCACCAATGCTCATAAAAAGAGGGCATAATAAGCTTCCCATTATAGGTGAATGCTGTGTGCAGTAATACTCGGAATGAAGAATCATGTGTAAAGTATTAATAATATTTAGGGAGTATCGTGCTTGCTGAGAAATGTAAGCATCACACATTGACAAAATAACCTAACCCACTGACTGCTACTCTAATAGAGAAATTGTTATATAGAAGAAAAAAATAAAAATGAAAACAACACTTACTGAGATCAAGTTTAGCCCCAGTTAATATGAGTTCCTGTTTCTCAGTCAAGGGTAGTTGTGTCTCCGGTAGTTTCCTCAACTTTAAGGAATGATTCCGTAGCAAAATAAATACACGTATTGCCTGCAATTAACCAAAAAATATTAATATTTGGAGTTGGAAAATGTTATCATATTTTCTACTATTAAATATTATATTAACAGTATGTAAATATAACAAAATTATGTAATTATTAATAGTCACAAAAACTACTATTAGATCTTGAGTGATATCAAAGAAGTATCAAAATGAATGCCTTGCCTGAAGGAAAAGTGTGAATTTGAAAAACAATGAACTTTGCATGATTAACACTATCAATTTATGTCTTGAGATGTAATATTACTGTTTGATGAATCTTGAATATATACAAATATTTATTGGGTTGAGGGGTATAGTTCAAAACATAGCCTGAGGTGATATGGAAGCTGTACTATGTACCAAGACGAAGTCAAGCATCCTCCAGATCACCAAAAGAGCTTATATTTTGAACTATGACCCAATTAAATCCCAGTAAATATTTTGTTTTATATACTACTACATAGATGTAGGCATTAGAGTAAATGGCTGAAAATATTGCCCAGCTTTTAACCAATAAATGCCTGGAATCTATGTAGTTTTATATAATAATGTTTATTTGAATATGGAAAGATGTTGTGTGAGGATATGTTTACAAATTGTGTACTATACTTAATAATACAACTAACTGATCAAAGTATGTCATCTGGTTTCAATTTGTTATTGCAGAAAAACAATTGTTTGTAAAGAAGTATCCTGCTATGATGACATCAGGCACATCTAGCTGCAATAAACAACCATGCAGGAAAAAATGGAAAAAATCGTCCAAAAGTCGTAAGTACTTAACAACTAAAAAATATTAGACCAATAATGGTGTAAATAATAATTGTTATATTCTTGACTTACTCTTCTAGACCTCTCGAGCTCTCCAGAAGGCAGTCTTTTGATGAAGTCGATACCTGTCATTGGTGTTGCAGTAGGAGGAAGCAGTAAAGATGAGTCCATCGTCAGGTATTCCACATTCAAAGGACGAGACTGACAGAAATAAAAACAATATTTTTAGTTGTGTCCTGTCTGTTTATTATCTGATAAAATTTTATAGTTAGTCTCAAGAGTATTCACAGTAACCTTCGAGGGCATTACAATTGGTCAGCTTCCTACATCAACCAACTGCCACATGCATTAAACATGGCAACCACACAGGTATACTTACTTTCATACTCTGGTACTCATCCTCAAACATATCCAAAAACAATTCATCCCCTTTGTAAAAATTCCTTAACATCAGGTTGCTTTCTTCTTTTGCACCCTGAAACAAAAACAGACAACAAATCATATGATTTTACTATTTTCCACCTTCTTGCTCTCCCTATCTCTTTCTCTCTTACTTCTTTCTCCCTCTCCATTCTTAATTCTTGCTTCTCTTCTTTTCTCTACCTCTCACTTTCCATGTGCATAAAAGCAAATTACAAATCACAAAATATAGCTGAA